ATTGTGGTTTTCTTGAGTGACACTGAATTAAAGATATAAATAAGGAACCCTCGAAGGAACCCTGGAAAAATGATTTATATCTGAAAATGAAAGGATATGTCGAGTGATCAATATGCGGAAATGAGTAGGACAGCTTTTGTCTTTTGTTTCTACTCATAACGCATCCTACTATGGAAAATTGAAAATCATCTCCTTGGAAGTGAAAACCCGAGCGAAATCTGTATAGTATAGAGATATAGAGTAACTGATCACAGCTCATACTGAATTTCAAACCACCGAAAAAATTAATACTATTTCCATTTGAAAATATTGAAGATTATTGAGGGCCATTCTTCATTTTTCCACATGTTAACTCCTCTCCTGAACTTTGGAAACAGATGAATGTGTTATTCATACTTGCACTGTAGTTGAAGCCTTCAACCAGGAATTAAAACACAGTCATCTCCACAATTTCCATAGTAATCAATGCTGCTCTGTTTATACTCAGCTTACAAGTTTCGACCCTGAATAGGTTCATATATTCGGGGGAAGAGAAAATTTTACAACAATATATAGAGACACTGCATGCCAAATTTCAACTTAACCTTTAATTTTTTTTTTTATATTCCGATTCTCTATCAATGGAATGAAAAATTTAAAAAACTTAAATTCATGTTATTATCTCCAAATTGGGATATCGCATTTTGCGTTGAAATTCGGTCGTATGAAGGATTGGAATCGATTCCAACTTCTTCAAGTAACTTATTACGGTATCTCCAACGAGAAGCAGAATATCAAGAATTTACCATTCTGCGATCTCAAGCGGTGTATTGCGAAAAGTGCGGCCTATGAAACTCTACGTCTATCCCAAAAATAAAATCACTGCTTTGAAGAATTACTGGAACACAGGATTGTCTTCATCTCAAGTGTGTCACACTGTATATTTATTGACGAGTCATTTCATGAAATGTCTTGTTGTTGTTTCTGCTTTTGATAGAGTGAATCCTTGATGAAAAATATAATAGATCATACAAGGTGACTCATAATAAGATCGAAAAACTTTGTGTACGGATTCCTAACCTCAGTTTGACTTTTTAATTCATGTTTGCCAAAAGAACAAGTTCCCGTGAAAGAGGAAGAAGCTCGGAAAGAAAGTATCGATAATACCAATTTGGTTTTACGTTTGATAATATTGGCAAGCACTGATGGACCACCCCTGATAAGTATAATTATCTCAAAGCTTGACAGGTTCGAATATTCAGAACCTTTCTAATCCTACATTTTGAAATACCATTCATTTTATTCCACCCGAATTGCCTCAATTTTCCATATAAAGTCAGCTTCAAACGTATATCTATCGCAGAGTCGGAGATTGAAACTTTGTTCAACTAACAGTTAGTTACTCTTTCATTATTCTACTTGGCTTTGATTCTGAATATGATCCCCGTAATGAATTCTGATTATAACAGAACTTCCGAAGTCATTACTAGTTAACTGAGTAATATAGAGATAGAGTGTGATAATGGATTATTAAAATGAATGCACTATAATAAAATTAGAACATGTAGGTACTTTGAAGGAAGGAAATAATAGTGATGCAAATCAATATAATCATCACTGATTATTCCACTCATTTCTAAACCCATAATTTCCATTGGTTGGAATACCAGTGCTGATAAACGACAACATGATATGTTTTAGTTTTTGTATTTGGCTGTTGAATGGATACCATTTTTGTAACTGTATTCTGCATCCTCATTGGTAGTAATTGAATATAAAACAAAATAACTTACCAGCAGTAGTCAGTGAGGCTGTCATGAATGTGATTATTGTGATTACATCACAATATCATCATATTTCCAGAAATAGATGGAAATTACACTCAATACTGAACAACAACCAAAATCGAGATATCGGCACTTACTTTCAAATTGTATCGATCGATACACGCCTCTTATTCAATTTCCTGACACCGTAGTGACAAAAAAGTGACTGCATATTATTTGGTTGTGAGTGAATATACTGATTGAAATTTTTGAGTGAATTCCCAAGTCAACTTAGATATTTTATATATGTTTTCCAATAATGAAAATGTTCATAGCAAACCCTATTGAATCGGCTGATGAATTACCATTTTACACAATCAAAGTAGAGTGAGATTTCAACACAATCGGGTGTTGATCGAAATTGAGACAATATTGAGTGAACCTTGAGTAAACTTTGACTCAATTTTTTTTCCAGAGTTAATTTGCCTTTGCTTTCACTCAACACACTTCTATACCATAACAACTGTCACCGTCACTACCGCCAAATAATTTTCTAGTTCTCAAAACATAATGTCAGTTCTTTCTCAAACCAAACCAAATTGTCTTTATACTGTAATTGTGTACTATTCTCCTGATTCGACAAAAATTCGTGATCAAGGGAAGTAGCAAAAAACGCTCGAGCAATAAAACTTTCATTCAATTAAACATGATATATTTACCGAAAAAGACAGTATATATCTCTTATGTATTTGATAGGCACTTGAGAGTCACAATTATTAATATCCACCTAAGCTCTCGAGTTGAGTGACAACGCTAACCAAACCTAACCTTCACATTGAAATAATCAATCTTGTAAAATGCACATCCAATACCAGTTCTGTAATTTTATTCCATTACGCATACCTAACTTTTACACTGTGATTTTAATGTAATGTAATGATAATATTATGTGATTTAACAATGTGAATATCCTGTAATACTTTTACTATGTGATTTTCATGATTATGTTATTTCACAGAGGTTATTTCGACTATAAATATGAATATGATAGGGAGAGGATGTGATGGAATTATAGCAAAGATTTCTCAGGAACAGTTTCCTTAGAAGTATCTATTGAAAAATGGAAGGTTGCTGACTTTTCTACAGTGTTCTTATGAGGTCAAAGAGTTGGCATTACCCACCAGGCGAATGGCTGTTTTCTGGAAGCAATCTATCCCTAATAGCACACAACGTCCTAGGGACGTCCCTATTTGGTACAATTCACGTCCCAATGTCCCGAACCAGAAATAAGTGTCCTTGGGACGTCCCATCCCGTACATCTCATGCAATGTCCGAGCAAGGACGTCCACGGATTGTCCCAGCTGGTACATCATTTCAAATGTCCTAGAAATGGCATCCCTTAGACGTCCCACGTGGTACATATTGTAGAATGCCCATGCAAGGACGTCCTTGGCATGTCCCTGATGGGATATGATTTTAAACGTTCCGTTAGGGACTTCCATCGGATGTCCCGAGTAGTACATATACTGGCATGACTTCAGATCTTATATAATGTCCCTTCCAGACAACCATGAAATGACCCTGATGGTACATTCCTTCAAATATCTATCTGCTCAGGCGCCCTTAATATTTCCAGGATCGTATAACAATCGAATTGTCCCTTAGGGACGTCCTTCGAATGTCCGTCGGATGTCTCAATTGGTACATGAACTGTACTCTTCCAATGTCCTAGAAATAACGTCCTATGGACGTCCCAGTCGGTACTTTCAATATGTTGTCCCTGCGAGGACGTTATCTTACACCCCGCCGACGAATGATTGCTCGTAGGCTATAAGTACTCCTCGTCAATGTCCTTCACGTAAGTCCATTGGACATCCTTGGGAAACTTTTTGGGGACCTTCTACCGACCATCAACTCAACTGGATGTCCTAATCAGTTATGCAAGATCTGGTCCTAAACGGACCCATACAAATTCAAATTCAAGAATAATTCGTACGTCCCTGGGACATCCTATGGACATCCAATTGATATCCCTCAGCGTTGCTGATTGGTTGTCCTATGGATGTTCTAAGGACGTCCCCTGTAGTGCTTGATGAGGAATACTGTAGGATTTAGGTATTCGATAGTTGTCCCAGGGACGTCCCTCAAGGACGTCCCTAGTTGGTCCTCAAGTGGGACATTTGTGCGTCCCATAGACGCCCAATGGACGTCCACGGTACCAAATTCTAACGTCCTATGGACGTCCTGAAGGTCCCGAAAGGACGTCCTAAGGATATCCATGGGACATGAGTGTGTTATTAGGGTAAGGGCATCAGTATATGTTAGGGTGCTAAACTTTATACATGAGAACAGTATTCTGAAACTGGCCATATCTGTGCTTTGTAGTTCATGAGGAGCTCTTAAGGTGTAAAGTTGGAACAAGAATCCGAGCTTTTATGAAGCAGCTCTTGCGATAGTTCAGACATGATTTTTTCATGAGAGAAAATTGCTGATGGTAATACTCGTGGTAATACCTAGCATAGATGCAGTGCGGTCTTGGTGGGAAAAATGGTACCAGACATTGTTATAGCAAGCATATATTGAGTTCCGCCTGTCTAGAGCAAATACAGACTTGTCTTTTGGTACTTCAGGTTGTTGGTTGTAATTTCCGCAAGATCTTCATTGATAGCGTTCTTCCGAGCGTCATCAGTTCTTAGTTAGTTAGTATATTTTTACCAAACAAATATACATAATAGTTGCAAATTTGCTAAATTCACCTGCTTCGATGTACCTATCATCAATTGCATAACGCAACGACGGCAAATGAGAATACGACATGAAATTATGGTTTATTTCATCGAATTTATTGAGTGGAATATTCTTATCGAATACAACTTGTTTTATTCCCTGATTTGATGTTCCTGAAAATCATAGATTCTTATTTCTATAATAATCAATACAATAATTGTTGTTTTACATACGCTTATCATAGATTAAACAAACAAGCGATTATAATCTATTCATCCCTATTATGTTAGTCATGACCAAGTTCATGGAGGTATCCAGTGGAACAAATTCTGTATGTAGGGTACATCTATTTCATTCTGCTACAAGATGGGAAATATGAACGCTTCCTCGCAATTTGTCAACGTTCCACAATATTTTTCTGGAATGGTGTCACAATGCACGAAGAGACGAATTGTCGGTATGAAAACGACCATTTTTGTATTTTAGTTTTGTTGGCGTATACTCAATTTGTTGACAGCCATGAAGAAAATGGAATTGTACGGGTAAGTTTGCGTTTCACATCCCCACTCAGTGGAATGAAGGTAGTTTGCTAAATAATAGGCATTAGTAGGTATAGGGTCTATGAATATATTCATCTAGTGATTTGAAAAATAAATGAACATTCTAGAGAAACTCGAGGAGAAACTCATCAATGTTACAATATGAGATCAAAAACTGATATTAGTGCGTCATTGTATGAGAATAAATGAGTATACAGCGGTATATTATACTATTCATATATTATATTCGAAATATAATATCTCGGGTGAGTGAAATTCGAGTAGTTGCATGCAAAAAAAAACATTCCGCGAGAGAAGACGCGCCCCGACAGATTGAATGCTATTTTTTTATTTCATTTCAAATTATACGTATTGAAACAGATATTGGATGGATACAACTGGATGGAGCTTAACCAATGGTTCAACATGTCTCAGTGTAATGATGCCTGGAGTCCTTCGACATTGGCAGTGGTCGCGTTGGACGTGAGCACCCAAATAATATGTCGGAGAAGTCCGAACGGACCAAATATGTATATCCACAGGTGCGCTGTCACCTGCACCAATCGACTCGATAGATTGTCTTCATCGATGAGTTCGCTCAGAACAAGTGATTTTGTCTCAGGAAAATACTCGTTTGGAGAACCATTTTCATTCAGGTTCCTGAAGACTACCCTTCCGAGCCCTGGTATCGTCCATGAAGAGGGCCAAAAGTGTTCCTTCTTCCACGAGTAATGGGGAATGGATTGGTCCAGCCCTGTGGTGCCCCCTGCTCAGGGCTTACTGCTGTTTACTCTGAGATGTCGCCCAATTTCCCAGAGGTCCCGTTATCGACACCATATAACGTTGGTGTCATTTACCCCTCGTCACGGATTCTCACAATTTGGATCAGTTTTAGTTATATTATAGGGAGATGAAAATTGCTCGGAAAATTGTGTATATCATGAAGAATGGGTGAAAGAATAACTGGACTTCAGGTTACTGATGGGGATTTGAAATCCGAAATGAGTTTTACTCGAGTTGAGTCATATAACCTGTTTCTGAGAGATATAATTCCCATATCACTGATACAAATCATTTTTTTTTAAGTTCCAAGCTCATCAAGATCAGAGTTTATACATGTTTACTTCTCCTATACATTTCAATTTTCATTTCAATACTGAACATAGTGGTGAGATATATTTTTATATTATAATACATCATTATTCTATTTGATTTGAGAGATTATGTCAATTTTCAATTTCAGAGAATTTTGATTTTTCATGCTCTCTTTTTCGATTTTCAACAGATATATTTCAATATTCAACGTGGCAAATAGCCAGGAAAGTAGTTGTTTCCTGTTGAATATTTAGAATGATATTATATGCACATCTTTATATGAAGGAGAATGCAAATTCTCTACTTCAGAAGATTTTGGTTTCAAATTCTTGTCGTGTGTGTTCAATAGATGTAATTCGATATTCGTCGTGGCATATAGCCAGGAAAGTAGTTATTTTCTGTTGAATGAACCAAGAAAAAATTAATATTTTCATCACATGCGAATTCTCAATGTATTTTTTCATATATATAAATCCATTTTTTGTGTCCATAAATATATCTGACAATATTTCTTCTAGAATACCAATTTTTCATCAAGATGAAAAACTTTAAATATGTGGCCTACGTGAATCACCCTGTAGTAGCAATCGCTTGTGAATAATTCCACAGTCATCCTCGGACAAATCCATTTCATCCCTTGATCCTATACCGGATACCCATCACGGACTCTCCGTTGAATATCCCATCATCCCAAAACGATTTCCAGTTCCAGCATTGAGCGAAAGAATTAACTGAAACTCTCTTTGTAGTCGCCTTCTGGTAGACGAACAAAGCTGTTCGACTCAAATCAGCGACTTGAGATTGTGACGATCCATATCAGCCGCTGAACCAAATGAAGAAATTGAATCACATTTGTTTCCACACCATCAGCCCGATATATATTGTAGTCCCCTAAATAATTATAATATAGTTAACTAGGGAAAAAGCCAAATACTCAAAGTGGAATGCATTGGTCACGAAGAGAGAAACACATAGTCATTACCACAACTAGTTCATAAAATGAACGACAAAATGGTAGATAACGAGAGAAAAACAACTACTTTCCTGGCTATATGCCACGCAGAACATTGCATTACATCCTCCCGAAACCTATGCGATAGTTCGTATAAACGAATAAAATCGCAAGTGTTTCCTTCCTAAACGCTGAGCTGCGTTTAAGTGGTTCAGGAACGCTGACTACCTGCAGACCGGTTTCGAGCTCTTGGCTCTCATCAGTACAGGGCTGTCCCAGATTGCTTCTTGACCGCTATCTGGTGCAAACCTGACCCAACGTAAACTCATCTCAGCATTTATACCATACGAGGCGTTCGACGTCTGCGAAATGAAAACGTGAACGCCGAACGCCACCTGGCAAGGAAAGAAACACTCCAAAACAAAATCCCATTTCAGATGAAATGGGAGTGGCTGGTTGCCCGACTGGCGTATTTTCAACTAGGGAAAAAGCCAAATACTCAAAGTGGAATGCATTGGTCACGAAGAGAGAAACTCAAAGTCATTACCACAACTAGTTCATAAAATGAACGACAAAATGGTAGATAACGAGAAAAAAACAACTACTTTCCTGGCTATATGCCACGCAGAACATTGCATTACATCCTCTCGAAACCTATGCGATAGTTCGTATAAACGAATAAAATCGCAAGTGTGCGAAATGGAAACGCAGACGTCGAACGCCTCGTATGGTATAAATGCTGAGATGAGTTTACGTTGGGTCAGGTTCGCACCAGATAGCGGTCAAGAAGCTATCTGGGACAGCCCTGTACTGATGAGAGCCAAGAGCTCGAAACCGGTCTGCAGGTAGTCAGCGTTCCTGAACACTTAAACGCAGCTCAGCGTTTAGGAAGGAAACACTTGCGATTTTATTCGTTTATACGATCTATCGCATAGGTTTCGGGAGGATGTAATGCAATGTTCTGCGTGGCATATAGCCAGGAAAGTAGTTGTTTTTCTCTCGTTATCTACCATTTTGTCGTTCATTTTATGAACTAGTTGTGGTAATGACTTTGAGTTTCTCTCTTCGTGTATAATATAGTTATTTAATATACAAGGGAAAATAGTAGTAGATTTTAGCTCCAGGTTGTGTTGTGAGACAAAAAACCGTGAGCTTATATCAATTTTTTTTCCCGTGTATAATACACTATTTTTTCCTGTGACAGAGAAGGGACGAATCAATATTGTGAAGATATTACATTATTCTGAAATCCGAAAAGTATCGACGTGAAATTTTAAGTTTTTAACAGTAGTGACACCTGCGTCATAGGCATCTTTATCATTCTTTTGAAGTAATCAAATATCTGATGTCACTTCTGACAGTCTAATTCTGTGATTTCATTTCAGAAAATTGCGAATTCAGTGGTTGTTCTGAACACTGTCAAACAAGAGCAATTATGTGTTACAGCCGTGGAAATAATGAGTATATAACAGAACATGTGGGAATATAACGAATGCATGAAATACACTTTTCAAAGAGTTATGTACACTATTTTTCTTGCGACCATCAGACGTACACCTAGAAAGCAAACACACTGTACGTGTTTTCCTATTGAAAAGGTCCTGTTCAAGCCGCCATATTTCGTATTTTGAGGAACCATCTACTCAATCTATTGACTAATAAAGCTTTATCTAGATATTGACGAGCATGCATTCGATAGGACTCGCGATGATTTCGTAAGACCGATACATCAAACGAATCAAAAGTAAGAGTTTTGGACCATCCCAATAAACACACATACGTTGATAAAACGTTCATGATGTCACTTACACCAATTGAGAAATACGTGTCTCTATAACGTACAATCAACTTCAAAATGTCGCGGTTTTAAACGTTGGAGAATACGAATGATTGAACGTTCAAGTTCCCTACATAAAACACGACTATTAAACGTGTCTAAATGTCTAATTTTCAACGTTTTCATGGACGACTATTATACGTGTATAAACGTATTAATCTCAACGTTCTTATGGACGTTATATATTCCCATATTTTCAACGTGAATTCAATGTTGAGAATGTACGTTCTACAAACGTTTCTTTCAACGTTTTGGTAACATTAGTTTTCCATTAAAAATACCCACTCTTTTAGTACGGGTCTTCACGCATATTTCGAATACTTGCTCAACTTTTTCATATATTGTACAATTATTTCTTCAAAAGAACGTTCTTTTATATTTTTTCTGTAGATTTTATACCGGGTGAGTCGATAGTGTGTTTTAGGATTTTTTTGTGTCGAAACTATCCACTATTGGTCGAAACGGCATAAATCTGCAAATCTCAACTTTTGATTCACTATCTACCGACATTTACTTGGAACAAATACAGGGTGGTTCATGTTTCAGAATTCTTATCACCTCGTATCTGATCTAATCAAATGTCAGTAGATATAAAATCGAGAGTTGAGCCATTTTGACCAATAATTAAATGAAAAAGAATATATACAAGAACGTTGCTTGAAAAAAAAATTGACAATTTATGAGGAAGTTGAATGGGATTCAAAATATACGTGAGGACCCTGTACATAAAAGAACTGTAGTTTTTTTGACTGAAGATGAAGATTGGATTAAACTTACCTAAGTTCAGATTTGCTCCGTCTCGCTGCTAGATTGCACCGAAGTTTACCAAGGTCATGAGGTCTTTCGAGATTTTCCGAAAACCGCTCATGTAATTTCGTTGGTTTTTTATTTGAACAAACTGACTTTCTTAGATTCATGTATTTTTAGGACAAATATTATAAAACTTCATTTTTTTCACGGCTATAACACAAATTGGCTTTTGTTGTACTGTGTTCGATGAATCAATATTGAAGGAGCAACTTTGAACATAGGTTATAACCTTTTTCAATTAGTCTATTTTCAATTCAGAAACACTATTCTGTCGTAAGTGAGGTTTATTTCAATACTCCAGTTTTCTTC